GGGGGTCCGGCGGCGCTCGGCGGGGGGGCGGGCTCCGGCGGCACGGTGCTCGGCGGGGGGGCAGTGCGGGCTGCGGCGCTCGGGGGGGGTTCCGGCGGTGCTCGGCAGGGGGGGGCTCGGGGGCGGCGCTTTTTTTTGCTGCTTGGGGCAGCAAAAAAGTTAGAGCCAGCCCTGCTGACAACTCCAGCCCAACCACCCCAGGGCATGGGGTTGAAGCTGAAAATGTGACAGAGGTCTTGGAAAGTCACAGAATCCATGACCTCCATGACAAAATCTTAACCTTAGCCATTAGGCATTGCTGCATTTCTTGCAAGAAATGCGTTAGGTGCCTAACTCCAGGAGAGGGTTCATGGCTGAGAATCCCAAATGGTGACAGGTGCCTCCATCCAGCCCAAACTTAGATGCCTACATCCCTGAGAAGGGTGGAGCTTAGCCCCCACTCCTCTCAGCATTTGCTATTGGCTAGTTCCGGCACAGCTTGCTGGCTTTTGTGCTGCCCATTCTCAGGTGCATGTCTCACCACATGAATTGTACACCAAACTCAGGGCTGTGAATTCCACTGTGTGGCAAAGTGCCTTACAGTTAGGCATTGCAACACTGAGCAATGTAACGCCTAAGTCCCTTTGTGGATTTAGCCCTAAGTCCTTAAACCAGAGCTTAGGTGAGACGTAGGTGGGCATGAGCCTTGAACTAGCTCTCTGCACAAGGATGAATTTCAACCAATAAGGGGAGAAAGGGTTGTGATGTAGGCAAGAATAGGTGTAGTCATGAGTGACTCACCTTGTTCCGAGTCCTAGAGGCAAAACTATAACAAGCAGGAGCTATTTTGTGTGCACATCTGGCCTTCTGATACTTGACAAGGACAAAATGAACTCAAAAAGAAGACTGGGTATGTTAATGAAACAAATGACCAAACCTCCATGCATGGAACATGTCTTTATTAAATAGGCAAGCAAGCACAGAAGTATAATGTGTAGTGCTTAATAATCATACAGTACTAAAAATATAAAAATAGAAATAAAATTTCACTGAAAGCAGTTTCACTCACAAATATACAAGGAAAGGTGCTGTCAAGCCACATCATGCCACACCACTTGCCAATTGCTGCATTGACAGGTTATTTTCCAACAGAAGCAAAATACTAAAATCTGCTAGTCCTTCCTCACAGCTTTTGGTGAGATATACTATAGGGCTAGCAAAACGGGCCTCCTGCAGCTGAGAACCTAAAAATATAGATTTTTAACTGAAGGATCAAATAATTCTGTAGAATCTCATTGTTATGGGAGCCTGCGCCAGGTTAAGTATGTAACTACCCACAGGCATATCAGGGAAATAAAAAGACTTAGAAAAAATAAACTCGAATCCTGCTTATAAATCAGACTATTAATGGCTGACAGTCAATTACTGCAACTGTATTCTGCATAAATACCATTGCTTGTGTAATACTCCCATCTGCTGGAGTATTCTTAAAATCTCTTCTTTAAGACCTGCTAGTTCATTTACGTATTTGTACCAACATGTACATCCATCTTCAAATTATGTCTGAATGGGTCTAAAAGTGCTAAAAATACTAAGTTCCCTCAACTCCCATGATTTCAATGAAACTTGAGGGTGCTCAGAATCCAGCAGAACACTCTCGTTATCTAAGAGGATCATTCTCAATGGGTGAAACTCAGGCTACGTCCTCACTACGGGGGGGGGGTCGATTTAAGATACGCAAATTCAGCTACGCGAATATCGTAGCTGAATTCGACGTATCACAGCCGACTTACCCCGCTGTAAGGACGGTGGCAAAATCGACCTCCGCGGCTTCCCATCGACGGCGCTTACTCCCACCTCCGCTGGTGGAGTAAGAGCGTCGATTCGGGGATCGATTGTCACGTCCCGCTGGGACGCGATAATTCGATCCCCGAGAGGTCGATTTCTACCCGCTGATTCAGGCGGGCAGTGTAGACCTAGCCTCAGACCTGTGTGGAAGACCAGCACGTATCACAGAAACCCTGGGAGAAATGGACTCCTAACCATAGGCCCAGCACAAGCCCCATGCACCATTTACAACTCACTTACACCCTATGTTGAGGGCTTGAGTGAGACTTAAGTGCTGAACAGGCCCTTGTGATGGCCTGCCCTCTTCACAGGGATGAATTTCATTCACTCTGTATACAGCCACTCTTATCAGACATAAGAGCATGTATGCGTGGAGTGACAACCACAGTTATGTTTGTCTTGCAAAGTATGCCAGCGAATGGTATCCACTCAGAAATCCTACAAATAATGGAAGTGCGAAAATTAAAGGAAACCCCCATCTTTATCCTTTTAATTTGGGATAGGATTGTTTTGTCCTTGACATTCCAACTATAAAAATAAATGTGACAGCTAACCCCTGAGATCATTCTAGCATACAGTTTGGTTTGGCCTATTACTGATTTCCTTCTGAAATAATTTTTTATTTGGTTTACTGAATTTTATTTAGGTTTCCAGTGAAAAGCTTCTATAAAATACATTAAATAATCAATGTGGGGCTGAAAAAGTGTACATTCTAGTTGCATATATAATACATACCTTATACTTAGATAATACATTCCATAACAGCTGAGTATTCTTGTATTATCTATGAAATTCTTGCATGTTGACAAAAGATTAAAATGCTGAAGGATAAACAGCTGTTTAGGATCAAGAATAATAGTGTTCCCTATGGTTACTTAGATTTTGTTAGTTTTTAAGTCATGTTACACATAATAGCTACAGTAGTTTGTCCAGCAGGTAATAAATGAATGCATAAAGCACTTCTAGCTAATATTTGGATATTGTATGCATGCATGTTTTTTATAAATAAAAGTCAAATGTGAGGTCACACTTTCCCATCTTCTGCTTATAAACTAAATCAAATTTCTCATTCATTGAGACAGTGAAGATGTCTTTCCATAGCCCAACTCGTCCTGAAATACAGAGAAAGAGCACAAGTCAGACTGGTGACATGACAGAACACCGGCTTTTCTAAAATTATGTGTCTGATCAGATGGGATATCGGGCACCTCCTGTCAACTGCAGATCAACATCTACTCACTTTTACTTCAATGACACTTGGGGTGCTTAGCCTCTGCAAGAGGTGTGATTCATTCATACACCCCAATAAATCCCTTTGAAGCCCTCAAAATAGGTGCCACATTCCTTTTGTTGGCCATCTGCACAGGGGTGAATTTCATCCCGGAAGCATTCATCCCCTTGAAGGATTTGGCCCTATATCTTTAAATAACAATAATAGGTACCACATTTGTTTTGACTATTATTACATTAGAACCCCAATTTTATGAACTAATTGGAGATTGAAGAGTTCATAACTGAACATCTCAAAATTACAGTAGGTCTGGTGCAGACATTGCAGTAATGTTCACGGCCTCGCTTTCTTTTTAAACCATTACAAAGGGATTTCCAATGCACTGAAGACAGTGAAATGGGAAAGGATGTTCACTGTTTTTCATCAACGCCACTTTTATTACATGATTTTTTTTCCGTGTCAGGAAAAATGGTTCTTATAACTGGTAGTTCATAAGATTGGTGTTCATAAAATAGAGGTTCTACTGTAACTTAATTGTGGATATCAGATCTCACTGCAGACGATGGTGGTTTAATTATCCCCTTTTGAATCAGGGATGTATTTACACGGTTGCTGAAACTTCATCACGCATTGGTGGAATGATACACCCAGAAGAGAATAAAATAACACTAAAGATCATTAAATGCCTTTATTTTATGTTCAGTAGATGTATAAAAGGTGTTTATGATTGCACAAATATAATGAGGCAATTTCTCAAAGATGAGTGAATACCTAAATTATGCCTACAAAAATGTGCATTCAGGTACTCAGTTTGTGCATATAAACGTGAATCGTGCATGCATAATGAGTGTATGCACATTTTCTGTGGGTACAATTTAGCCATCCATGTTTGAAAATTTGTCTCCTTGTATAAAATATTTTTACTTTCCCACTGAAACCAACTAATAAAATGACCTGAAAACAATGTCAAAGTTGCCAGTAAAACACTCTGGGCCTCATTCACCACTGTGTCATTCTGGTTTTATGCCACTTTAACTAAAAGTGGGAGGGAGGGATAGCTCAGTGGTTTGAGCATTGGCCTGCTAAACCCAGGGTTGTGAGTTCAATCCTTGAGGGGGCCACTTAGGGATCTGGGGCAAAATCAGTACTTGGTCCTGCTAGTGAAGGCAGGGGGCTGGACTTGATGACCTTTCAGGGTCCCTTCCAGTTCTATGAGATAGGTATATCTCCATAACTCAGTCAAAATCAACTGGAGTAACACAGAGTTGAATTGGGCTCATACTATATAATGAATCCATTGCGTTGGGCCTTAGATTAATTCTCCTCTCATTTACAGAGGTTTAAGTGAAGATTAGCTCTATTCAAATCAAGGGCGTTATACTGCTGTAACATGGAGGAGAGTCAGGACCATGCTACCACAGAACTTAATCATATTAAGAAGACCACAAATTACACAAAGGAGACCTGATGATGCATTTGATGCATATGAGAAACTCCTAGTTAATATAATGAAAGTTGCTCATATATGATAGCTACATAATTGGGGCCAAGGACATAATTCAGTAGCGTAGCTGTGGGGGTGCAGGGGAAGCAGACGCTGCCCCTCAGCACATTTTCCAAAAGCGGCGCCTTAGTTAGGGGTTACCATGGCGCCAGCGGGCGGGGCCCACGCTCTGCTCTGAAGCTTGGCCTGCCGGGCCGGCGCTGGGCTCCTGCAGGCAAGGGGTGGCAGCATAGCGGAGGAGCCATGGGGAGGGGGCGGCACGGCCGGAGGAGCCATGGGGGGAGGGGGGGCACGGGGGCGACATGGCATGGCCGGAGGAGCCATGGGGGAGGGCTGCGGGGGGGGCACGGCACAGACGGAGGAGCCATGGGGGGAGGGCGGTGCGGCCAGAGGAGCGAGGGGGGGCACAGCAAGGCAGCCCGCAGCATGGCCGGAGGAGCCATGGGGGGGGGCGGCGCGGCCGGAGGAGCCATGGGGGGGGGGCGGCGCAGCCGGAGGAGCCAGCCCAGGGGGGGGGGCATGGAGCGGCCAGAGGAGGAGCCAAGGGGGGCGCCTTTTTAATGTTTACTCCCCCTGCTCTTAGAACCTGGCTACGCCACTGACATAATTATCTGTGAGCACTGTCAAAAAGTTTGCAATGAGTGTCCCACCAACTGCACAGTGACTTGAAGTTAGTTATTACACATGACTAGTGTCATTTTGCGAAATAGTAATTTTCCTAGTACCCCTGAAGATATAATTCACTACTAGAGGGGTTTTTTAAATCCCCAAAGATCAAGGCTTTGAATTTGAATGAAAATGCTTAATCTGACAGTTTTTGACAAATAAATGCTGGTACTGGCTTTCCTGTGTCAAACAGGGCAGTGAGTACTATTAATAAAAATGTTCTTGCAGTCATAAAAGTCAGGTATTGATTTCAGTTTTGTTCTAGCAACACTTATGGGACAAATACAGTACACTGTGCAACATAAAATCATACATTATCCTTTAGGTAATAAAAAAGGATTCTTCCTTTGTCTCAAAAATAAAATTGAAGAACCTTGTTATTCCTGAATCTCTCTAATGAGGTACAAATCACAAGTTTTATAAATGGAATGTACTATAGTGTATTTTACTAGCATCTATTTCTCAACCATATAGACTGATAGCTTGTCAAAAAGTTACCCACCTGGTTTATCATTTGAATCATGCAACTGTGTAATCTATGATGTGATATGAAGCAAATATAAGTAATATAGCTAATCAAAATGCTCTGCTTTCACAGCAGCTCTGGGTTTTCTTCAGAGTAAAGATCAATGTGCTAAAAGAAAAAAATTAAAGAACCAAAATAAAGCAAAATAATAAGGTAAACGTAGTTGATAAATTAAAAATATTTGGAACAAATTACAGTAAACTGTGGTTACTCCTGGGGGAATTCTGCGACACTGCACAATTCGGGGGGTGGGGGTGGGGAGGAGGGTCCTAGAGGGTTCATGGCAGCTGCAGTTCCCAGCATGCCTTGAGGGAAGGAGACAGCAGCATGCAGGAAACTCCACACAAGCCTGGGACCAAGAATCAGGCTGTTTCTCCCTCTGGATCCCTGGGCTCTGAGGGGTAGGAGGGTGGGTGTCTGGGCTGGGGGGGCCCCGTGGCTGGGCTCTGGGCTGGAGGGGGTGCAGGCCTCTGGGTAAGGGGGAGCCCCCACGGCTGGGCTTAGGGGAGGAGGAGGTGAGGGTATCTGGGCTCTGGCAGGGAGGGGGAGCGGTTATCTAGGCTGCAGAACCCTGTGGCTGGGCTCAGGGGGGTAGGGGATCAGGTATATTGGCTGGGCTCTATGGGGGGAGGGTTTGGGCTGGGCTGCGGGGGCGCACAGAGAAACAGGTACTGGGTTATCATAGGAGTTTCTTTAACTCTATTCCTGGAGGAATTTTTGTGTGTATCTGTATTGTTACAGACATACTTGCTGGCAGGTATTTTGAAATAAATTACCAAAATAATAGAAACTGGCATGATTATGTAGTGTTATTTTGACAAATAAAATTTGCAGAATTTTAAAATATTGTGCACAGATTTTTTATTTTTTGGTGCAGAATTTAATTATTTGGCGCAGAATTCCCCCAGGAGCATGTGGTGTTATTGCTACCGTGTTATATCACATAAATGAACAGAGGACAAAACTGCCATTAATGAAGTTGCATTTTGAAGGAACAAAACATTGCAAAAGCCAAAAACAGCAATCAAAATGAATTCAAAATAAGGAATTTCAATAAAAAGCAGACAGCAAATAAACGACCAGGTACATAGTTGACTACTGTAGCTCCCTCCTCTACCACAAAATAAGAGCTTATGTACAGTGCCTAGCACAAACGGGTACTGATCCCTAACTGGGGCTTCTAGGCTGTAATGTAAAACAATAGACAATAATAACAGCAACAGGGTAGGAGCACAAAAGACAGACCATCACCCTGCACCTGTTCTGGATGCCATCCAGACAGGCTGGTTTACAGAGACGCTACCGTGACCTCCAGTTGAGGAGTGGCAGGTTGTGGTGTTCTCACCACGGCCAGTCTCTTTCCTCACGACTGCCAGTCAAAAGGCCAGCGAAATCACTCTCCATAAGAGCCAATCAGGGAGTGAGGAAGCAGCAGCACCAATGCCATGGCCTCATCCCTTGCCCCTGCTGAGCAGTTGAGCCATAGATGGGGATTAAAAGGAAGGTACCGCTGCCTTTGTCTCTCTCTCCCCCCCACCTTGAGAAAACTGAATGGCTAGGCCAAATTCTAACTTAACTATCCTATTGTACTGAAAGGCAGTACATGAACTGGCAGAGGAATTGATGGTATCTCCGCTGTGTTTTCCCTCCAGGAGAGAGGTCATGGCTGTAAATCCCAAGCGGAAGTTAGGCGCCTAACTCCCTTTGAGGGGCAGGGTTTAGACCACACCCTTCTTTTGCCATTTCCTATTGCCTAGCTTAGGTGGCTCCTCACAGTGTGCTGGCTTTTGTGACTCCCATTCTTAGGCACCTAACAGTCCCCATGCACTGTATAGGGAGCCTGGGTGCCTATGTCAGGGCTGAGAATTGCATTAGGTGGCAGGGCGACTAAAGTAAGGCGCTGCAATGCTGAGCCAAAGTCTCTTTTGTGGATCTAGTCCTGGGTATTTTTTGCAGTGAGCTATATCGCTGACAAAGACAGAAACTGAGGGGAAGGGTGGGGGGAGGAGTCCTTTAACTCGACCTGCTAACTCATGCGAAAACTACAAACTGCTTTGTTTTCACTAGGATTTCACCTCATTAGTTAACTTGAGCTAAGAATCCCCCTTTTTGGCCAGTGAACACATAGTCTATGAGGTAGGTGAGAATTATTATTGTACCTATTTTCAGATAGGTCAACAGAGGCACACAAAGGCTCAAGGTCACTGAGCAAGTCAAATACAAAGCAGGGAATGGATCTCAGGAACTCCGATTCCCAGTCTGCTACTCGAATAACTGCACTGCCTCTCTACAGTATACAGGGTGTCTTTCCATGCCAGGCTTGCAGAGTAACAGATTTTTCAGATGAAAATAAGGAGCTGCCTTATGAAGACTGATCACATGCTAATGTCATGTCAATATTCAAAAAAGGCCAGTGGGATGATCCAGATGATTGTAGTTAGCCTGATGTCAGTCCTGAGCAAAGTCATGGAAAAAGCTGAGACAGGACTCAATCAATACAGCACTAAAGGAGGGGAATTAATGCCAGTCAGCATGGATTTTATGGAAAATAGATCCTGTCAAACAAGGCTGTTTTCATTCTATGATGAGACTACATGGTTGGTTGATAAAGGTAATGTAGATGTAATATACTTACACTTTTGTAAAGCATTTGACTTAGTATGACACAACATTCTGATAAAAAAAATTAGCACTATACACTATCAGTAGAGCATAGAATAAATGGACTAAGAACAGGCTAACTGATAGATCTCAAAAAGTAATTGTCATTGGCAAACCATTATTGAATAGGGATGCTTCTAGTGAGGTTGGCAGGGATCATACTAAGCCCAATGCTGTTCGGTATTTTTATCAATGATTGGGAAGTAAAAATAAAATCACTGCTTATAAAAATTGTGGCTGATACAAAGATTGGCAGAGTGGTAAATAATGATGAGGACAGGTAATCGTACAGAGTGATCTGTATCACTTGGTTACCTGGGCACTTTCAAACAAAATACAAGATCACACATCCAGGAACAAGGAATGCAGGCCGCACCTATAGAATGGAGATCGGTATCCTGGGAAGCAGCGACTCTGAAAAGTATTTAGGGGTCATAATGTGATGTTGTGGCAAAAAGGGCTAATGCTATCCTTAGATGTATAAACAGGGGAGTGGTGAGTAGGAGTAAGAAGGTGAGACCAATATTGGGATACTGTGTACAGTTCTAGTGTCCATGTTTTTAAAAGGATGTTGAAAGATTGTAAAGGTTGAAGAAAAAGATACAAAAGTGATTTGAGGGCTGGAGAAAATACTTACAGAGATTTAAAGAACTCAGTCTCTTTAGCTTCTCAAAAAGAAGATTGAAAGGTAACACAGGGAGAAAATACCGGATACTAAAGAGCTGTTTACTCTAGCACAGTGGTCTCCCACCTTTTTATGCTCAAGATCACTTTTTGAATCTAAGGGAAACCCAGGATCTACCCCGCCCCTTCCCAGAGGTCCCGCCCCTACCCCAAAGCCCCACCCTGCTCACTCCATCCCCCCCGCCCCCTCTGTCATTCACTCTCTCCCACCCTCACTCACTTTCACCGGGCTGGGGCAGGGGGTTGGCGTTCGGGAGGGGTTGCTGGCTCTGGGCTGGAGCTGAGGGGTTAGCAGTGTGGGAGGGGGCTCTGGGCTGAGCCTAGTGCAGGGGGTTGGGGTGCAGGAGGGGGTGAGGGGTGCAAGCTCTAGGAGGGAGTTTGGGTGCAGGAGGGGGCTCCAGGTTGGGACAGAGTGTTGGGGTGCAGGAGGGGGTACAGTGTGCTGGCTCTGGGAGGGGGGTCAGGGCTGGGGCTTGGGGTGCAGGAGGGTTTGTGGTGCAGGAGGGTCTATGGGGTGCTGGCTTCGGGAGGGGGCTCAGGGCTGGGGTGCTCCCTGCCTACCCCGGCCCCACACCGCTCCCGGAAGGGGCCAACGCACCCCTGCAGCCCCTGGGTGGGGCATGTTGCTCTGTGCACTGCCCCTCTCTGCAAGCGCTGGCCCCACAGCTCTCCCGGCCAATGGGAACTGCAAGCACAGTGCTTGCAGGCAGGAGCAGCGCACGGAAGGAGACCCCTGCCCCCCGGGGGCCGCAGGACTGCACTGGCCGCTTCTGGGAGCAGCGTGGAGCCGGGGTAGGCAGGGAGTCTGCCTTAGCGGCAGCCACACTGTGCCACCGGAGATTGAGATCGACTGGGAGATCCTATAGGATCGACCAGTCGATCGCGATCGACTGGTTGGTGACCACTGATCTAGCAGATAAAGGTATAACAAGAACCAATGATTGGACGCTGAAGCCTGACAAATTCAAATTAGAAATAAGGCACACATTTTTTACAGTGAGGGTGACTAACTATTGGAACAAACTACCAAGGAAAATGATAGATTCTCCATCTCTTCTTGTCTTCAAATCAAGATATCATGCCATTCTGGAAGAGATGCTTTAGTCAAACACTAGTTATTGGGCTCAATGCAGCAGTAACTGGGTGAAATTCTATGGCCTGTGTTATACCAGAGGTCAGACTAGATGATCTAATCTAATGGTCCCTCTGGCCTTAAAATGTAGTGGTTATCTTTGCTGATGCTAGATGGTCACCTCCTTCTTACAACCAGGTTGTTTTTGTTGTTTTTTTCTCTCTCAATCAAATGCCTCTTTTAGGGCCAAATTTATCACTTATATAAGCAGAGACAACACAGTTAAAGTCAGTGGTGTTGCACCCACTTGCACCAATGCTGAAGCTGGCCCAATACCTTTAAAATATTTGTAAATATGCAATGTTCATCCTGGATGCTTTTATTTTCTTTTAAATCACGTTCACTCCTTTGTCCCAATACTAAATGGTCAAAGTTCCTATCAGACTAATGATAATTTTCCCTCTGTTGTTTCAATAACATTTTACTGTAGATTGAATTTAAGACAATAATTTGCCAACACATCCTGTCCTTTATCAATCCATCACTTATCCTTTTGTGACATCCACCTGAAGAAGTTACAGTGTATATGACACATACCCCGGCCAACTGGAAGGGCTTCTGCATTACAGCACTGATCAATGAGTTGATGGCAATGTTCCACCATGGATTCCAGCTGTGCTTTGTCATAAGAAACTCCCAAGAATCTCACCAGCTGCTCAACCATTGTTGCAAGGTCCTGTAAGAAAATATTTAAAAACAAGTAAAAGTTAATAGACTTCAGGATTAAATATACAAATGCAAAAAATGTGTTGAAGTGGAGTTAAGGTTGCAACCGCAAAATAGCATCCTGTGCTGCTTGTGCCCTTCCTGAGTGTGAAAGTTGAATCCCCCAAACTCAAATGCTGGAAAACCAGCAAATGCCAGGGGCAGAAACATAGATGCCTAGGAAACCTTAAGTGCCTGCAGGGCCTGGTGTGAATTTTGTGAATCGAAATGGAGCCAAAACTGAGACTTCGGTGCCTAAACCCGTGACTTAGGTATCTACATCTGGCATTTAAGCACCTAAGTAGCTTTGTGGATCTGGCCGTAAATCCTTATTAAGGCTCTTAAATAAATTACCTGATTTTCAAAAAGTGCTGAGCAACTTCACAGCTTACATGAAAGTCAGTGGATGCTGCTGGTGATCAGTGCTTTGAAAAATTAGGCCACACATTTGGGAGTTCAAGTATGGACTCAGGAGTCTGACTTTAGACTCCTAATTTGATGAATCTGAGTCACGATCAATATCAAGCAATAGAAAATTCTTTATAATATCTGGTTTACCTTGTGCATATCTTCATACTTGAGGAAAAGTACATTGGAGTCCATGTGATGTTCCCAGAATTCTTGCACATGCTCAAACCATGAACCATATCCTACTGCAGAGACAGAGAACATTATAACTGACAAGGAATATGATCAATATTGTTATGAGTCCGTCTTGACAGGAACTGAGGAAAATAAGTACATTTGAATGACTGAAGCACTTTATACTTCCAAGGAAATTTTGTTTGTTTCTGCAGTGTTCCTATGGCTAATAAGGAACATCACTGAAATAGAGTATAGTCTCCATCAGTGTCGATGAGATCTTAACACCTTCACAGAGAGCTGATTTGCCCTAAAGCAGTGGTTCTCAAAGCCAGTCCGCCGCTTGTTCAGGGAAAGCCCCTGGCGGGCCGGGCCAGTTTTTTTACCTGCCGTGTCCGCAGGTTCGGCCGATCACGGCTACCAAGGGTCGCGGTTTGCCGCTCCAGGCCAATGGTGGCTGTGGGAAGGGCAGCCAGCACGTCCCTTGGCCCGCGCCGCTTCCCGCAGCCCCCATTGGCCTGGAGCGGCGAACCGTGGCCAGTGGGAGCCACGATCGGCCAAACCTGCGGACGCGGCAGGTAAACAAATGGGCCCAGCCCCCAGGGGCTTTCCCTGAACAAGCAGCGGACCGGCTTTGAGAACCACTGCCCTAAAGGCATATTATTGTGGCTACGCATTCAATGCAAAAGGCCACCGTGTTGCATGGTGAGCACTCTTTTGAGCTCAATAATACGGATGCATTGCTCATGAGTTGAAAGGGAGCCAGCAGAAAAAATGTGCATGTAGATTCCCAATCATTATGCACATAGGCGTGCGCAGCCATTTCATTAGGGTGTGCACCCAGGGAGCCCCGCCCTAGCCCCGCCCCATCCACTCCCTCCTACTTCCTGCCCCCTGACTGCCACCCTCAGAACCCCCAACC